TTCAGAGAAGAAAATTTATTAAAAAAAATTAAATTGTTATTTTTTTATGTTTATAATATAAATAAATACTAACATGTCATATGATGCAATTTATTATTGTGATCATATGATTTTTTTAGCATTAATTCGCATTTATAGAGGGTGTGTAGATACTTTTATCCACCCTCTATATAAGTATTACAAGTAGCACAAAATCCTTTCATATCTTTCCAATATTAATAATGATTTCCTTTCAATTGATGATAAAAAGTTATTCTTTTTAAACCATTAGAATATATTTTTTAAAATTTTTCCCAAAGTACTTTTTTTGTATTTTTTAAATACAAAACAGATAATTGAGTTTTAGCATCTGTTTTGTAAGAAAACATAATAATATTAGTTTTGTCTTCAAAAAAATTGCTAAATTGTTCTAATTTTCTTGTGATAATATCATTGCTATTTTTATAATTTTTCTATTTACTTTGCATCAGGACTATTTAATCTAGTATATTTACGAGCATTAAGAATTGTAGTTGAAGTAACCTATATTGAAAATTCTAATAAGAAAAAAATATAGCTTTTACAAAATATTTAAAATAACTAACCAATAAATTTGTTTTAATTTCTTCATATGAAAATTATTCACAATTATTGATAAAATTCTTTTCTTTTTATCTGATCATTTTTGATTTATTTTTAGAGATTCTTTAAAACATGACCAAAACTTGTTGATATTTGAGTCAGAATATTTATCTGAAATTGAAGAAGATATATAGAGAAAATTATTTTTATATAGATAAAGTAAAGCACCTTTATCATCAATTGGATTTTTAACTTTGATCCAAAATTTTTGTTAAAAAAAAAATTATGTTATTAAAAAATAAATAATAAACAAATATTATTACTTTTTTTTTTTACTTCTGATTCATTTTTATCAAATGGCGTGATATTAATACATTTAATGCCATGAAATAATACTTTTTAAGCATAATATTCTCTTTAAACTGATATTCTTCTGGATATATACATGTAAGAGTACTATATAGTTCTATTATATTACATTGTTATTCTTTTCAATTAAATAGAAACTTATACCAAGCAATATCAATAAGCATAAATTTGTATAAATGATGTTTATATAATTATGTTATTATAATTTTATTATTTTATTCACTAACTATACAGAAAGTATTTGAAAACTATTTATTAAATTTTGGGTTTTCTTATGGTTAATACCAAATAGAGTTTTTTCTTCTAAATTTTGTAATATTTTGACTTTCTTCTAAATATCATTGGGATTACTACCAATATATATGAATTTATTTTATTTATTTTAATATAAGATTACTGAACAATATTGTTTGTGAATTTTCTGTACAAATAATATTTGCATTTTTTGTTTACTAATTACATAAATAAAAGATAATATGTATTCTAGACTTACGTATTCTAAATCTTTATAATCAGAAATTCCTATTATTTTAACAAATATTTATAATTTTTCAACTGTTAATATAAAAGGTTAAAAAGGAAAATCATCTAAAATTTATTTACTAATTTTCTTATTATTATAACCATATATTAATAGATTAAAAAATTATGTTTTGAATTAAAAAATTTCTGATATATAAAGTTAATCGTTTCAGAAGGAGTATCCTAAATCGAACTAATAGTATCTCTCACTTTATATATATAACTAAACTAGAAGGTAAAACTGAATTTCCTTTAATTACAGTAAGTATAAAATCTGTTTCCTTAAGTATAATTAGAATTCTTATCCCTAAATGTATAGGATAATATATGCTATCATTATGTGATTACCCCAGAAATGTCTAAAAGTTCTATAATATAATTCTTTGTCTAATTTTCCTTTTGTTACTAATGAAATATCATATTATTTATATTTATTTATTATTTTAAATGTTTTTAAAGAATAGTAATTTTAAGTAACAAGAGATTTTGACGTGAAGCTATTTTTCATATTGCAATGATCACCACTGATCATTAATAAATTTATCTAAAATTTTATATTTCACAGACAGATCATGAATTAATATTTCTTTAATAAACTTTTATGAAAATAATAAACACAATTTTTTCTTATTTTTATATATTAAATATTTTATCTAATTTATGTAAACTATAAATTTTAATATTTTATATTAAAACTAATATCAAATTACAAATAAAAGTTAAAAAAGATAATAAATCTTGCATAATAGTTTTAGGTTCTCTATAGGATGAAAATTGCTAACTTAGATATGAGAACAAAAATAAAAATAAGTATATTTAAAATATTATAATTATATCAATAATTAATTAATAAAACTTATTAAAAAATGAAATTTTATACTTTATCGCAATTTTATAATTATAAATATTTGTATTATCTGAAGCAGTTTTTAAATTTTATTTTCAAATAATTATTAAAGTAGTATACTTTTATTTTTAATAACTAAAATAATATAAAAAAAAAAAATTTCTTTGTATAATATTTTTATATTAAAAAATTTTTTACATTTTCTATTTAAATTTAATCATATTTATACTTCATTTTTCTTATTAATAAAATTTCTTTTATTATAATCTTAAATAATTTTATATCTTTATTAATAGAAATATAAATATCAAAAAATATCTAATATTAATAATTATTATAATAATCTTTAATTATTAATCAAAGAATCATAAAGTATAAATATAATAAAAATTATTATTAAGTTAAATAATTATACTTTTCACTTTTTTTTTAAAAAAAAATCAGATAATATATTTTGAATTTTTTATTATTATTTAGATTTATTAAAATATATAAACTTTTAATTTCACTAATTTTTATTAAAGTTTTGCTATTTTATAAATTTTGATATAATTTTATTTTTTTTTAATTTCACAGGTTTTTAATAAAATTTTAATATAATTTTGCTAAATCTTATCTTTAATATAACAACTTTAAATATAAATAAAATATCTTAATAATTAATTAAATTCTCTTTAAAATTGTAATCAGTTTTTTATTATTTTTTTATAATTAAATATTTTTAAATTAGAATACCTATTAAATAATTTTCACTAAAAATAATAAATTTTTAACTTATTATTTTATTTATATTTTTTATTTCAATATAAAAAATCAGGTTAAAACAACTAGCTAAATCAATAAACTTCTCTTAAATCATAATAAAATATATAATAAATATTTCTTATATAATAGAAAAGTAATAATAATATATATTTGTAATCTATATTTATACTTAAAAAATATACTTAAACTTTAAAATGAATACAATTTATGTAATTATAGTCTTTCTAACCAATTTAAAATTGTATAAAATCTAACTACTAAAGGTGAAAATATTATATTTTATGATCAAATCAGAATTATATTAAAGTATTAACTATAATTAATTGCAGATTTATTGCATTACTTAACTAAAACTTGACATTTAATTATAAAAAAATGCTAACATAAGAATTATAAAAATGAATTTAAATTTAAATTAAGCTAAATAACTGTTATTAAAAGAATCATAAAAAAAAAATTGAGAATGTATAAAAATTGAGAAAAACAGGTAAAATCTGTACAGTTAGATTATATCAAAACAGGTATATTTAGGCCAAATCAGTATAGTTAAATTATATCAAAACAGAAAAAGTTAATAGAATAAAGTCTCTAAAAAAATAATTAAATTATTTTAATATAAATAAGTTAAACCAATCCAATTAGATTATAGATATTCTTCTATAATTTAAATATACTTCTATAACCGAAACTCTATAATCTAACTATATATATAATACCTCTTTAACCTTACCATACCTTTATAATCTAACTATATCTCTATACTTCTATAATCTAGACCAAGTGGTATATTGTAATATATTATACCACTACTATAATTTTTGAAACTATTTCTTTACTTAATTAAGATTTTTTTTAACGTTAAATATAATATTACTGATATATATAAAACCATCTTTTTAGTAATAGAGATAATTTAGATATCATTAAATATAAAAAAAAAAAGATTATAGAAATGAATTCCAGATAAAAATATCTTCTTAGTATCAAATAACTAAATCTAATATAATAACATAATAACCGTTACTAAGCAATCATTTTATAGTATAAATAATTTCAAACAATACCTAAAGTTTATAACCTAGCCACTTATTGGTAGAATTCGGAATAACCTATTATTGGACTAATTTGTTCTCGAGAACATTCAAAATTAGATTTAAAATTTTTCGTTTGATGAAATTATCATCTAATTTATCATGACTGAAACAGATTCCAAATCAATACATTCGTTAGTTCGTGATTTACAAAGTTTAGTTAAAAACGCTCAAGAACAATGGAAAATTAATTTTCCTCGGCAGGGGCAAGCGGATCAGCCACAGACAAATATTGCTGTTCCGAATGGTACCAATTTATTCTTATTACTTTAATACTATATTTTTAATAATATTTTTATTGAGCCCTCTTTTGTCTAATAGTTGTACATCCACTTGGACCAGTAAACTTGAGTGAATTACCTACAGAAATTTCACAAAAAATAGCGGTTATGCGAGATATTATTACTAAATTTAAAAATAATACATTGAGCGGAGTTCCTCAGCTTCAACACGGTACAGAAAGTTTGTTAAAAAACCACATTAATCAACTCAAAGTAAATTATCTTTATTTATTAGCTAAAAGAGCTAATTCTTTTGTTGATTAAATTAAAATTTATTTTTGATTAATTAAAAGGAAGAAACAGAACGTCTTGAATCACTATCTGAAGTAAGAGATAATATCAAGATATGTAAAAGCTTGGCTTTAGATGCGTGTCAAGATAATGCGACAGCATTTAAATTTATTATAAAACAGACCGAAAGTTTTGGAAAACAGCTTGGGTACGTGATTTGTGCTCTTAATCTTTGTAGTTAGTACATACATTGAATTCTCATTTATATTTCGTTATATGAAGTCTTCAAATAATATATGATATTGAAAAACATGGGATTGATTCAACACTATCAATGAGTGGATCTATTATAGTGTTGGATGTAAGTCGTATTTAATTTGTCTTTATGCGTGTTACCTTATGAAGTTTCGATGATTCGAATTGGATTTCTTTTATTGCAGATTAATTATGACGAAACCTCGAATCGAATAATTAAAATTAGTGTTGACTATACGACTGCTGCTAAAGATGATAATGTATGTATCATGTATGTATTTATATATTTAATATATTCATTCAAAAAATTTGTAGAATACAAGTTAAAATTATCTTTATCTGTAATATTTATTTAAAATTAGATTGATAATTTACTGACTCAGCAATTGAGGTATATCAATTTCTATTAACAAGTTTTTATATTATTTACTTATTTATATTTTAAATTTTTTTTTTTCCTAGCAATTTCAAACAATTTAATCTCTTCAAGAAAAATCTTGAAACTTTAGCGACATTGGATATGATTTCCAAATCAAATACTCCTGTTGATTGTTTTCTTTGCATAAAATGTATAAGCAATGATTTAAAAGCAATTTATGAAAAGGAATCGTAAGTTTATTGTTTTCAAATTTTCCTATCATTTATTTACTCGTTATCAAATGTGAGACCAAATGATCGTTTTGTTATTAGTGATATTACTATTGGAGATATCCCCAAAATATTAACCGAAGGTCATGGAATACCTTTATTTCATTTTGAGAGAGTCGGCCCTTCCATCGCATACTGGGCTCCTAAATATCGAATTATTGAAATAGATTGGAACATTGTCAAAGATATTATCAATCAAGGTACATAAAAGTTATAGATAACTTCAATTATGATTTAATTTATTTAAATAAATTAATGATTTTTAGGTGGAACACATGGATCATTTCGATACCTTAATCGTATGTGGATCACTATGGAAAAGTCTCGAGACAACCGCGTTTTTTTGCCATCTGATAGAAGCCAATATTTGCTTGATATCACAAATGAAGAAATCGACTTAAAGTAAGTTCTATTAGCAAATTTACTTATAGTAAAACTTAATAAAGTTCTAATGTAGAATTTATATAGTTATATCATGCAGAATCCATTTTCGCTATTCCCAAATGGAACTCAGTTGAAGTTTTTAGACCCAACTAAAGTCGCTTCTGCTCCCGTCGCACCTATAGAATTCGTCGCTTGGCTTGATCCACCAGTTTATGTTTCTGACAACGTGGCTAGAGCAATTGGAAATTTGGCTGGTGTTGCAGTCAGAGGTAATAAATCTAATTCAATTTAATTTTTATTTGATTGATTAATTTATCTAATAATTTTATTATTGTGTTAACAGGATTTTTTATTAGCAGTGCGTTTCAAAAGAAAGATCCTCAAGCTTTATCGTTGGAGCAACTGTTGGTAAATTATTTTATCTACCACTTATTTTATTTTGAGAGTAAATGTCAACTTGTCTAATTTCTTTTATTTAATTGTCAGATAGAAGGCATTATTCCTCCTGTAAATCAAAGTTCTTCAGCCCAAGCCTCAAAGATAGTCCATCAATGGGAAAAGGTGAGCTTTTTCTTGGGTATAATTTATAGATTAAATTTCTCATTTTATTAAAATTATGAATTATAGAAATTCGATGATTCGCCATATCATCAGATATTTAGTTCAGACAATATGTGTAATACGAATGCAAGAAGGATTGATCGTATTCCATTTTCTCATCCATCTCAACTTCCTGGGTTCATTAAGGTAGTGTTTTATATTAATTAACTATTACATCATTAAAATATTTGAAATTAATATAAATTTCATGTTAGACGTTACGACAACAGCTTATCTTTAATACACTCTACCAAAGCTGTTTCAATTCTTCCACATATAAACAAATAACAATAACAAAAAAATCCAAATATGACCATGATTTGAAAGAGAACTCTCTGGACATAGAAGGTTAGTTGTTGATAAAGTAAACCATTTATAGAACTTTCGTTGAAATTGTCATCTTTTAAACTTGTTCTAAAAATTTAGCAAAAGTACATGTAAAAGTTCAAACAGATAATCCACCCAATGGATTAACATTAAGTATTCAATTACCTCAAAAAATGGCAAAATCACAAACTACTATTCATTTACACATTACCATTTTGCTACCATATTCACAAATATACGTTGTTTCTCATATAACTGGTTTTGGAGATATTAGTATATACAATTTGAATGATGAGAATTTAAGTAGAGTACTAAGCATGTGTCAAGATATTCCAATGACAATTAATTGGATATTAAAAAATTTATCAAAACCCGAAGAGAAAATGATGATTGATGAAGTTGAAGTTTCAGATTTTGTAAGTATTGCTTCGAAATATATCTATATTTTATTATTTATTTTTTTATATTTAATAATTAATGAAAATTTATTTTTATATTATTAAAGTTTTTTGATTAATACAAAATGGAATCATGACCAATAATTCCAATTTGTTGAGGATAATGGTTTCAAGAGGGGTTTTACAAAAAATGCATCAAAAATCAATAATTCATTTTAGAGATATAGTATGATAATCATTTATAAATGTAAATGTTATAATTATATAAAATAAATTTTTTATATAATGCTATAGATAAATAGATATGCTTTAAATAAATCTTTTAAAAAATTATAAATCATTTATTAAATAGATATATAAATTATAAAATTTAAGAAAAAATTTTTAATTATATATATAATTGATAATAAAAAGCAATTTTTAAACTTAAAGAAATTTATTAAAAGAATATAAATATATATTTTATAAAAGTTTGTATTTAAGAATTATTTAATAAGAAATTTATGATTTTTAAAATAAATAACTAATTTTTTTTGACTTTTAAACCTTTTTGATTAATAAAAATCCAATAATTAGATATATTTTTAATAGCAACTATCATAATAGTTTAAAATTAAAATTAAATTTATTAATAAAATATCTTTTAATAATTTTAACAAATTATATCTACTTTAATTAAGTTATTATTTCTTCAAGCATATTATATGCAAATTTGTTTGCAATTTTATTTAATAATTAAAATTATTTGTAATCTTTTTAAATATTTTTAAAATAACTTATTTAAAATTAAATATTTTATAATAAATTTTATGATATTTTTAAATAAAATTCAAAAAAATGTAATTAATCAGTGATATTTTAAAGATAAATATATGATAAATTATTATAAAAAAAAGTTAAAATTTTAAACTTATATATCTTACTATTATTAATCTCAGAAATATAAAAATATAATTATTTATAGTTTTATAAGATGAATCTAACAAATTAAATTTTATTTTATGATTTCATTTTTTATGATCCAAACTATATTAATTTTTTTATAATATTTTATAAACATTTTATACTTATCATTTAAGGATAGTAAAATTAAAATTTTTGTTTTTAAAATTATTTTCTTTAGATTTGATTAATAAATAATATTAATTATTTAACATTAATTTATAAAACAAAATTAAACAGATTAAATTATAGAATCAGAGTTAAAATGATAATGATGATGGTTTTAGCAGTAATTATGTTAGTAATAATCATAATATAGCTTTTTTTATTTATTTTGACTATATTTAAGATAAATTTTGATCAATAATATAAATACACTTAGATCGAATATTAAATAATTTTTGAGTTGTTTATTTTCGGAGGAATACGTTATTAACATTTTAGGCTAGTCGATCACCCCCGGATAATTTAACTGGAATATCTTTTTATATAAATAGCAGATTTCCTTAAAAACAAAAATTTGGTTTTCGCTTCAAAATGCAAAGACAAGGACCTTCAAGGTTTATGACAGATGCACCCATAACATCAGCCTTATCCTTAAATGCAAGTCAAGCAACAGCAGGAGGTACAACAACAACCTTAGCTTCACAAAATGCCTTTTTATCTAGTGTGGAAGAAGATCAAAATAAAAAATTAGATAATGAAATTGAATTAATTGTGACGAGTTTTCGCGATATTGTTAAAAGTCCTGGCTTTCATGAAATGGTTAGAATGCCTGGCAGATCTGAAGATAGGGTATACTATCTTATTGATATTTATTATTGTTGTTATTGTAGTTAATTGAAGTTTTAACGCGTTTCTTTTTCCTTTGAATTGTTAAGTCCGTTGATAAAGATAAATATAGAAATGCTTTGGATGGTTTCCTTGTCGAGTTAAGAGCTGCAAGTTTGGTATGTTCAATTCCTTCACTTTTTTATTTTATTTTTTTTTTTAATAAAATTTTTGATTCAACGAAAATGAACTTTTAAATTAGGTACGATCTTGCGAATCACTTTTAACAATGACACATGATTTAAAAACGACCCTTTTGTTAAATGATACACAAACACTAATGAAATTACATGAAGATCGTAGAAAAGCACTCAATGCTAGAACGTTAAAAATAAAATCAAAAATTTTACAATTAAACGATGTTATTAGTGATGCTATTTGGGAAATGGAAAGCGTTTTAGGTGGGGGTCAACCAAATGGTGCAAATGGTAGTTTAAATAAAAAAAATTTATCTAGTATCTTTGAAACCAATATAAAAATGGAAGATATATAACTGTATAATTGATCATAAATAATTTTATATATAGAATCAGTTTTTAAATAAATATCAAATGAATATAATATATTTATACCTCCTAAAAAACACGTTTTGATTTCCTCTTTTATATTGCAATGCCCCATATGTTCTCGATTTGAAAAGACGTTTATTTTTTGACCAGCTTGACATAGTCACGGGTTGATTCTGCCGGAAACTTTAATGCCGGCCATTTCGTGACATTTTTGTGATTACGCTGGGTAGTCCCTATGATCAGGCCGCGGCTTTGAGCCATCCCACCATAGACAGTCAGAATTTTCTTATACCTTTTTATAATTACATTTATAAATGGGTAAAAATAAAGGAAATGGACGCAACTTTGGTTCCAAAAAGTCAAAAAATATGCATAATCGGTATAAGGAACATGTTTCATCAATAAATAATGAATATACAAGGTGTGTGATAAACAGAATTCAATGTATTTTCTTTATTAATGGACAAAATGACGGGAAATCATAACTGGGTTTTATAACATAGCGAAGAAAGTTTTTATGAAGTCACAAATCGTAAGTTTTTTTTCATGATTCTTTACCAATATTATGAATAGTTTAATTAAATTTCTTTAATTGCATCGATTATTAACGTAAACAATCCATCATACATCAAAGAAAAGGTTGATGACAATAAAGGTAGTAACATCCCAATGCCACTGAGTATGTGGGTAAGTTTTTATTTTATATATTTGGTTCTTGTTTTCTTAGTATTTTATTATTTAATTTTAATTTATACAGGATTTTGGACATTGTGATCCAAAAAAATGTTCAGGTAAAAAATTAGTTAGATTAAATATAGTAAAAGAATTAAAAATATCAACCAGATTTCGTGGGGTTGTATTAAGGTAAAGTTAAATTTGATTTTCTATTCTATCTCTTTTACCTTTAATCTTGGTAATTAACACTAACTATCTACTAACTCTAAGTCCGGAAGGAAAGCAGGCAGTTTCACCGGCAGATCGAGCAATTGTACAAGAACATGGAATTGCTGTTGTTGATTGTTCTTGGGCTAAACTAGACGATGTTCCATTTAGTAAATTGAAAACTGGGAATGATCGATTATGTAAAGTCTACCTTTTTTTCGATCGTTTCGCATACATAAAAATGTCATCAAGTTAAATTTCTATTTACATAGTGCCATATTTAGTAGCTACAAATCCCGTAAATTATGGTCGCCCATGGAAATTGAATTGTGTTGAAGCATATGCTGCTTGCTTTTACATAACTGGTATAACCTATTTACTCTTGATCATTTAAATAACCGATTTTAAATTTATTTTCTTATAATTAATTATTTTAATAGGGTTCAAAGAATATGCTCAAGAGTTATTATCAAAGTTTAAATGGGGTCATTCTTTTCTTACTCTAAACGGGTAAATATTACTTTTGTATCTCCCTTTCTTTTCAAAGTCGTGAGGTTAACTCATTTTCTTTTAATGAATAGGGAGTTGTTATCAAAATATGTACAATGTGAAGATAGTATAGAAGTTGTTAAAGTTCAAAATGAATGGTTAAACCATTTAAAAGAAGAATATTCTCAAGCTCGTGAAAAAGGTGAATAAAATTTATTACATCATATTTGCATCTTTTTTATAAAATTCTTATCTGTGAAATTATTTTTTTAGATGATGATGATGATGATTTATTGATTAGAAATCCAAATCATGAGTTATGGGATCAAGAAAAGGATTATACTGAGAATGAAAAATGATAATTAAAATTTTATACAAATATTTTTGACATAAAACAATACAGTTTAATTTATTAATTAAAAAAAAATATATCAAAGTATATAATTATAAAAATTTTTTTGATATAATATAAAATCAAAATATATTGTTAAATGAAATAACTCTTAATCTAATGATTACATTTTGATGGAAATACTACCATTAAAATCGTCTCGATAAGAGCTTTTTAATGCATATAAGCTTGACCTGATTGCATCAATAGTTCTAGTTTAAAAGAAAAATAGATAAATGAGAATGTGTATTAATTATAAAAAATTTAATATCATAATAAAAAAAGACAATTATCCTTTACTATGAATAGACAAATTATTAGACTTACTTAAAGGTTCTGATTAGTTTACTTCTTTAAGTTTATTTTCTGGATTTTGTCAAATTAAAATTTAATCAGAAGATATAGAGAAAACTGTTTTCATTACTAATGAAGATTTATACAAATTTACTGTGTTATTATTTAGATTATGTAATGCTTCTATTACTTTTCAAAAGATAATGAATATTATTTTCCAGAAGAAAAAATAAAAGTTTATTAAAGTTTATATGAATAATCTAAATATTTATTCAAAAACATTTTAAAAGTACTTATAACACTTACAGTTTTTGATCATATTAAAAAGATTAATCAAATAAATGTCACTTCTGTATCAATGAAATAACATTTCTAAAGACATATGATCAACAAAAAAAAATTATAATCTAACCCTTCAAAAATCAAAAAAGTTGTCAATTATTCTAAATCCAAAAATTTAACTGAATTAAAAGCTTTTTTAGGATTAGTCTCCTATTATCAAAGGTTTATAAAGATTTTTCAAAAATATTAGCTCTATTATATAAGCTAACAGAAAAAGAAAAAAGTTATACATAGAATAATAAACGGCAAAAAATATTTGATATGTTAAAAGAAAAATTAACAATAGTACTAATCCTTATATATTCAGATTTTAATAAACCTTTTGTCCTTTATACTAATACTTTATAGATTAATTTAGAAGCAGTATTATTTTAAAAAGGAGATAACAGAAAAAAAAAAAGATAAAATATTTTAAATATTATATTTTTGGAATTTTATAATTATTACTGATTATGTAACATTACAATGATTATTAAATATTGATTTAAAATTAATAGAAAATAAACAGATAATAAGATGGAGACTCATCTTATAAAAATACAATTATAAAATGAAATATAAAAAAAAAAGTATTATAAAATGCAGATACTTTATCATAAATAAACTCAAATGATTTTGACCTAACATAGAAAAATATATCATCCTTATCAAACTTTAGATTTTTCAATAATAGATAATAAAATTTATGAAAATTTAACCTAATATGGATCGGTGCAAAAACATTTGTACCTCAGATAAATGCCAATAAAAAAATTTTTAACATAAAAATTTTTTTTTTTTTATTT